CGTATACTCAGCCCGCGCGCGACTAGTGGTGGTCACGCGGCAGCGAAGCGTTGTTACGGCGTACAGCTGAGACATTATTATTATATAGATGACGTCCATACGCTTGCCCGCATAAAGTGAGTTCGCCCATTTCTCTCTGGCAACAAGCAAATTGGTGGTACATGGGCGTGACTTACGAAGTCATGCTGGGCAGTAGAAATCACACTCGAGTCCTCAAAGTGAAGGCTGAGAGCTCTGTTAAGAATCCGTCCTATAATTTTACACACTACACATGTTAAGTAAACGGGACGATAGTTTGCAGGGTTTTGGTGATTTATGGACTTGACAATGCCCAGCTCCCAGGCTAATGGGAGGCATCCGGATTCAATAGAGCAACGAAAGACGTGACAAGCTAGACTGCAATCTACTTAGCCACGGTTTTGAGAAACAGAGGGTGCAGGCCATCAGAACCGGGCGAGGTGTTCGGATTTCATTGGAGAAGGAACTGAGTAACAGTTTCTGTGCTGATCTCAAGATGACCCATCAAAGATGAACACGAAAGTGCGACGTAAGAAAACGGAGTTTCATTTGAATAAACGGATGAATACTGGTGAGCTAAGAGGTTCGCTTTCGCAGCATCCTCATGAAGTAAGGCAGCATGTTTACTGGAATACAGAGATGGAATGCCATTACCATCTTTGGTGCCACTTTTCAGAAATGAGAACATTTTGGGGGAGCAATTGGACTACACAGCCAAGTGAAGCCCGTAGTTTTGGCGATTCCCCCACTTCTTCAGGATACAAAGGTTCTTAAGCGTTTTGTATTCCAAGTAGTCGGCCATCGGTTATGTACACTTGAATCGGTCCGGTAATTTGAGTTTTTTATTCATCAGAGACCTCAACTGTTTGTCGATCCAAAGAGGGCCACTTGTTGGACCTCTTTTTAGAAATGAGAACAACCTGGTTGATTAGCGACACCATTTTGGAGTAAAAGTGAGTCCAAGCATCGTCAGCGCCCAAGGAATGAGGAATGGTCCAATCCATGTTAGAAGCAGCCTCCTGCAGTCGCTGCGGATCGGCTCGCCAGAAATTATGCCGGAAAGCACCTTGATCATGAATGGAAAATCGACGTATCCATTGGAAAGAAATAGCAGTAATCACTCTTACCAATAGATTGCATGAAAACCAGGTCGGTGACGTCGGGGAAAGTATAAAATCAAGAATGTGCGGCGTATGGCCTGAGAACAAACGAGTGGGTGACAATACGTGGTGAAACAAGTTACAATCGTGAACGGTCTGAAGGAAAAGAGCATCAAAAGAGTCAGAAGGAAGACCACAATAAAGCAGGTCCCATAAAATGCCAGGTGCATTGAAATCTCCAACAATTAAGCCGTTCTTTGGCGTGCGATTTAATTGAATCCAGTAAAACAGCTCCTGAACCCAAGAGAGCTCTAGAGGAGACAGACCAGGAGAGGTCTAAACCCGTTATGAATACACCCCAGAGCTTTAAAGCCTCCATCTATATCACGTGGCATCAAGTAAATGTATCTTGAGGTCCACCCTTCAATAGAGTATCACGCCACCACCTGATCTCGCTCCGTGGCGATCAGCCCGGGAGAAGTGATATTTAGGGGTAAATACTTCCGAGTCACGGATGTCCGGGGACAGCCAAGTCTCACAGAAAGCCATCAAGTCAGGGTGATTACCGATGGTAAGAAGTTGAATCTCGTCCAATTTGTTCCGCAAACTGCGCACATTAGAGGACAACACACGCAAACCGTTATTCGATCTTACTGTCCGAGTAGGACAAGGATGGATCGCCAGCAAGTTCTCGGGGTTTTCCAAACCACTCGAAAATCCACAATGTGAAAGGCCGTTTCACCGTTTGCCCAGCGGGTTCGAAGTTCATCAACTGCACGCTTTTATTGTTATCCTCAGGGGGCAGATCTCATAGAACACAAAAGGATTCTCCTTCAAGACGTGAAGTGCGTCGGAGGATGCGACTGCATTCATCTTCGTCTTGGCATACGATCTTTAGAGGGCGAGACTTTGTAGTCCTAAAGCTTCCTGCAAATACGAAAGGCATAAACAACATTTATCCCTGGTTCACTCTCATCAAACAGCAGTAAAACCATCCGTTTTAAAAACGCTTCATTGTCTAGGATACTTTCAGCTGGCGTAGCTTTGGAAGACTCCGGCGAATTTACAACTATAAGGCAGCGGTTACGAGGGGCGATAGGAGTCTGAGTTAAAGCTGCCTGACGGCGCCGCGAGTTCTTGAACCACAGATGCATAAATCCTGAGGTTCGGCATGTTGATTAGCAACATTTACTGAGGGGGACGTGGCCCGACTTTGCTTACCGATGGGAGTTACGAACCCAGAGCAGGGAAGGTGGACCCGCAGGTAAGACTGAGTCCGGAGAAGCAAGCAACGCAGTGTGAGGAAGAGAGGGACATGAACTAAGCGAGGGTAAACCGGCAAGCAGACGTCCGTCGTTGAAGGTTACTCTGCAGAAGTCACAAAAGGATGCGACAGATTGAGACACCCGTTGTAGATATCCATATAAGCCCGGACAGATACCGCAGCAAGCAGCGTGAATCCAACCATTACACAAGGAGCACTGTACAGCCTTCGATCGGTGAGTGACACCCTTACTACCAGAAACACACTTAGAAGCCATGGGGAAAGGATAGACGACGTAAACCAGCGGTGATTAGAAAATGTATCGTTCAGAGCCCAGGAGCAGGTCGAGTAACAAGAGTCGAGTTAACACTGTCGATAAGCAGGTATGAAGGAACCAACGAGATTAGATATCGACGGTGACAAAAGCGACAAATGGAGATTCCTGTTGAACGTTGTACTCCGGAAAAGTTTCCTCAAAGTATATCACGGGAAAAACTTCACAAGAACCGAAAAACAGCGGTTCAAAACGCGCGCGTTGATGAAGATTAACCTCAATTGAAGATAGAAATAGCGAAGGCATAATAGGAAGAAAGATTAGAGCCCAGAAAGAGGAATCGTCTCGGAGTAAGTTATGGGAATCAGAGTCAAAGAACTTTAAAGATTAGTTTAGGTGAGTGACAGGTGTACAATTCTGATATAAATGGAGCACGAGGTGGATAAGTCGCGGCAGTATACAAGGGAAAATAGAACCCGTCTGACGAGGTAAGTGGTTAAAGGTAGTCAAAATGGAGAATTGAAAATCTTGGGAACGAGTAATTCGAACATTTATTTATTGTGGGTAGGTGGAAGTTTTAAGACGGTCCAAAAGAAAGATGCGGAGAATAGGTTTTGTTCGGACTGCATCTTTCAGTAATGAGATTCACACCGGGTGTGGTGGTAGGTGGCGAGCGAGCAGCACTGACCCTAAGTTGGCCTCTTGTTTGCTCGTGTCGATCGGCCCTAAGCGATGATAGCAAGTGGACAATGGATCTGGAATGGCGAGAATAGAAAAGTGAATGCCGGGAGAAGAACAACCGGATGTCGGGCGGCGAGGTCAACCGCAGACATGCGTGCTGACGACACGAGGCATAAATCAGAGTAATCAATTTCGGTGGTCATGTGCACGTCGAGCAATTCAAACTCGGAGTGACAGTTCGTTTGCCTAAACGAATGATCACTCCCTCGCTAACGTCACGCATCGCGCCGCTCCGCTATATATCAGTGTACTGATGTTAGCACAAATGATGATGAAACGTTTGCAGCAAAACTGCCGATCTCAGTGAACATGTGGAGCAGCAACTGAACAACTTGAGCTACCAATATTTGCCTATATATCATACGCTGACAAATTGCAAATGACACTTGATTCGCTGCACAATTACTCAATCAAGTGGCGATTGCCCATCAATCGCGGCAAATGCTGTGTTCCAGGAAATTTCGAGGCCTACCAGATTTGTGCATCAATGTGCGAACCATAGCTTGAGATCTCAAAAACAACCAATGACGGAGAAGAAACAGTCAAATCTGGCAAAAGCTTCGTATGACCTAGCCACTGACGGAAAAACGAAGACTAGCTTTCGTAATGCTTCCTAATTGCTCTGCTTCGTGCAATTACGTAGCCCGTAGGGTACATAACGAGTAGAATGTCCGATTGTGAAAACATCGTTTACCCTAGTAATGGGCTCGGCTATACATAAAGAAGGAAAACGTTCGTTCCACTCAGGTCCTTCGGAGGACCAAGGTGTAATTTCGTCCCCTGAGCTGAGAACAACCCAAGACATGTTGCGGAGAGTCGCCACTGCAAACGGAATGCTCTGCGCTATTCTACAAAATATTGCCTGACATCAAGCTTTTGGTTTCCACACATTTTCGTCTAATACAAGAATACGGATTACCAGTTCACACTAGGTTTGAGCACGTTTTAATCGAAATAGTTGAGACATGGATAAAAACTCGTCTCGGTGCTGTGAATTACCTTATCCTCTTCGCCATGGGGATCTGATCTATACTAAACGCATTCTAAGGGGAGAACGGGAAGTAATTACAAAAGTTCTTGAAGCTCAGTGTAGGAAGCACGACACGGGGTCACAGTGTGATCCGAGGTGCCTCAACGTGAGCTTCGATGTCACCTTATCCAGGCAAGTCGTGAATGTATGGAACGATCTCCCGGAATGTGTTATCAGTGCTCAGACACGAATGTTTCAAGCAGCGGTTTGGTATTCACTTAGGGGGTACACCTGGATTCCGCAGCAGCTGTAGCGTTGCTAGAGGAAACAGTTCAGAAACGACACGCAACACCCAGAAGATAAACAGGAAGTGACGGAGCTGTTGCGGGCGCTCCCTACAGCTTTCTACAACCGTAGGAATCAATGGATAGCGTTAACAGGGTAGCCCTGAAAATATTGCAAACACTATCCATTTCCTAATCAAAAATTTAAGGTCTATATCAACATTTAACAGATGTCAGTCACGCGTTTTAACTGCGCAAACAGAGATCCGCAGTACGTTAACAGCGAAACTAGGGATAAACAAGTCAAACGACAAATGCGTCATGAAGATATAGACAAAATAGGGCTTACCCCAGAATCCAAAATTAGAACTGAAATCATTAATGTGGCGTTTCATTGAGAGACTCAAGTAGAAAACATGTACGGAGCAGCTAAGTTGAGGAAACCCCAGGAACATTTATCACTCGTGTAAATGCCGGACGGACACACTCACATATGAGCTGGGCCTTTAAGGAGGGTGAGTGCGGTGCCTCCCATCTTGAAAGAACATTATTTAACATGAAATGATTTTCTTAAAATTAAGTTATTTATGCATTGCATTTTCAATTTATTAACATTTCATTTTGGCAGTTTCTTTCTTTCTATGCATCTGTAATCCAAAACTCTATCATCGGGATGCTGCTTACACACGGCGCAATGGATATGTTTGCCTATGATTATTCAGTATTTCTTTGTTTTCCTTATTTTCTTTGTAGTTAATATACAGCTAAATTATTTTTATTAGTAGATTTGATTTACCCAGTTGTACCGCTGAATGCCAAAGTTTAAATCCGTTCCCTCCTTATGTGAGCGATCAATTCCCCGTTAATTCTTAGCGAATAAAAACAATAACCCTGGTTCTCGCCCTTCCATATGATGTATTAGACCTAACGACCCTCCAAATTCTTAGGAATAGTGCTCACAATACAGTCTCTTTACGTGTACACGACACCTCACAATCAGCGATCAGTGGACACTGGGTGGAAATTTCTGGCGCACAGTCTAGCCCAGATTAAACAGGGCTGCAAGCAACATGGGCTGGGGTATTTCGCAAACCTTGGAGCTCGGTGACGCATGGGAACGCCAACGATCTAGGATAATGCGGCCCATTGAACAGTTTGTTCCAAACTGCAGTAGTAACGCACCATCAAATGGACCACAAGGATTGATAAAGTAGTAAGATCCCTAATGAAAAACGAAGGAACCTTTTGGATAATTGCAGGAGCAAAGGACTCGCATTAAGCTACTCGGAGTACTGAACTGTCAGTAACCTATACGCCCCGAAAACGCAACAAATGTCTGTAAGATGAACACGGACTGTCCATGGAATTCAATAATTGTCCCAAAAGCTTTGCTTACCTGAAGCAAATGACAAACTGGTAGTGGAGACCCCGCACTATCCTCTTCAAAGGTACCTACCGTTCTTTACGGCGATGATAAAAAATCCACCCTACGGTCTGCGCAATATTCCTCGGTCTACTCAGTGGATCTCCGCTGCTCAACAAGTGTTTTTCTGTTCACAACTCCTCTATGGACCAAGGTAAATTAACCATGAGGTAGTCATTAAACTATTTCATCAACTGGATCCGAACTCCTAAATGGCCCGAACGGATTGTATCCCAGTTTCCTCAAAACGGTAGCGCATACGTCGCCGCCCCTCTATGTCAAGTATTTTGGCAATCCCTCGAAGTCGGCCGCATACCCGCAGGCTGGAAAGCAGGTACCGTACTGCCCAAATACAAGGGTGGAAACTGGCGAAATACCGACCAATATGCCTGACATCAGTCGCATGCAAAACCCTGGAACGGACAGCCAAGTGTGTCCTCCAACTACATTGCGTGAAAGTAAACCTTATCACACCTGCTCCACATAGCTTCCGGAGTGTACGCTGGTGCCTCTCTAAACTACTCTTCGCCAGGGATATATGAGCAAAAGCCATAGATGTCTGAACACTGGTCGGTGTAATATTTGTTGACTTAAGTAAAGCCTTTGCTAAAGTTCCACACGTACGACTGCTCCACAAACGTCAGGGAACTAGCATTACAGCAAGTTTTCTCTCTTGGATTGCCGATTTTAAAAGAGGTAGAAAACTGCGCGTACAGGTGAAGCAAACCCTCCCTGCTCCTGTGCCTGACTAGTGGCGCTTCCCAAGGAGCATTGCTTAGACCAGAGCTCTTCAAACTGTACATCTACGATCTCCCGACTACACTTCAAACCGACTGCTTGATTTGCGCCGATGACCTCCAATTTCGGTTTCCTCCGCCTCGGAGGTAACTTGAAAGTATTAGGCTTGTTGTGCTTTGAGGTTTTAGTTCCAAGTACAGTTTCAAGAGAGTGTTTGAAAGCGTAGTGCAAAATATTTGACTTTTTCAAATTTCGCTTTATTCACATTATTTTGGATAACCCTTTTCCCGAATTACTTCGTACCCGTTCTCGCGTACTTACTAAACGTCGTCCATATTTTCGGGGTCAGCCTCTAGATATTGTTCCGGTATTTTTGTGTTTTGTTATCCCCTTGCACCTTGGTTTACCTCGTACCTGCTTCTGTTACCCGCTGCAAGTAACAGCTTGTCGGTATCAAGTTTCGCTACTTGTTTCCTGCTCTTTGATAGCGTCATGGATTCACCGAATACCCACGCTAATGTGTTTTCGGCTGCGTTGATCAGCTGATCTCATTCGGTGTACGACAGCCTGAGCTGTTCAAACCTTGCAACGGAATAGTCTGGTGACGTGTAGTAAACACCCGCTATACACAATATTTTGTCGTGGGAAACACCTCAGTTACGTTGCTGCAACCACTAAAAGAAAAGAAGGGAATAAACTGCTACGGGGCAAGCCAGCTGAGCTACCGGTAACGGAAGGGCATCGTTCCGGTAAGCTAGCTTCCGGCTACTATGCAGCAACAAAAGTAATTTCCCATTCAAAGTCATAACCTGTTAAATAATGAGATCGTGGTTGGAGGGAGGCTAAGAGGGATGAGGTGGGACAAAGAAAAGCAAAGCACGAAAGCCACTGTGGTCGGCTCCTAGCCATATCAACAAGTGTAGCCAACCAAGCCCGTTCATCATCCGTAGGACCCCAACCAGTGAGCCTTGACGCTCCAACTGAGGGCAACTTCGAAGTGGGCGTCTTCATTACTCTGGACCAAGTCGTCGCCTGGCCACCTCTCCTCTTCTTCCATCCATACCCCGGTGCGCACACAACACACGTCGCGGAGGTCGGTGGGCTGGTATGCGTAACCCGTGGCCGAGCCATCGGAGCCTGGTGTGTGAAATAACGGCGCTGGGTGGTTCAGTTCCTTTTCCTGTGCCATACACCATACGCCGAACACGCTCGTTGCTCACGCGGTGTTCCCACCAAATGTGAGCCAAACTGCGTAGGCACCGATGGTCGGACGTAACTAGCCACTTTATATCCGCTGATCTAAGGGGCTAGGTTCCACAGCAGTGCAGTAAGGTCGAACGTACCGCTGCACTGTACACTCTACCCTTCAGGCCAAGTGTGATGTCGCGCCGGCGCCAAAGGTTGTGAAGGTTAGCAAAAGCGCCCCGAGCTTGTGCTATCCGGTTCGCAATCTCAACTTCAGTCCCACGAACGCTGGTACAACTTCCCAGGTAGTTGAAGGTTTGAACGTCTTCTAGATGCTTCCCACCAAGAGTCAGCGCGGGAGGCGATCCGTGCCAATCTTGGCGGAACGCTTTGCACTTCGGTGGTGCGAAGCAAAGTTCGAAGTGACGGACAGCCAGTGCAACTCTGTCCAGTGCGCTTGACAAGTCTGGGGGCTGTCACAGTTTAGGGCAATATCGTCAGCATACTCCCAATCAAGAAGTCGTTGTCCTAGGAGCAGATCCGCACCTTCTAAGTCGTGTCCGGTGAACGCGATTTCTACAACCGTCAATAGCGAAGCTGAAGAGGAAAGGTGACAGAGGGCGTCCTTGTTTCCCAACGCTGGAGACATTAAGAGGCGACGATAGTCTGCCGTAAGCCCTCACTCTGCCCGAGCTACGTGTGTATGATGCTCGGGTAATATTTATATATTTCTCAAGTACACCTTTCCTGAGTAGACAGTCTCAAGGTGCACGTCTGTCTACCGAATCCAAGCACCTATGATATCGAAGAACAAGACAACGGTGGACTTCCAATATGTGTGATGATGCTCCAACAACTGACGCAAAGTGAAGAGGTGGTCAATGCAGCCACGACCTCGATGAAACCCGGCTTGCACTTCACGAATATTGCTTGCACAAGCGACAGTCAGGCTGTAAAGGAGGACAGAGGCAAGCAATTTGGAGGCGATGGAGATGAGACTGTTTCCTTTATGGTTGCCACATGACGATCGTGAGCCTCCCTTGAAAATTGGGACTATGACGGAGCGGCTCCAATCGGTTGGGACAGTTTCCTGCTCCCGCAGTTTCACTAGTAACTCGTGTAAGTCATCCACAAGAGCAGGTCCCCCGAATTTGCAGAGAGCTGGAGGAGGATCATCTGGTCCCGCAGCTATGTTTAACTTTAACAGTGCGATTTCACGTTAGAATTCTGAGCGAGAGGGTGGATCCAAAGGGACAGCCCAGGAGGCGGGGCGATCAGTCTTCGGCGAGAAATTTCACAATACTGACTGATTAAATTGCCTTTCATAGTGCTCAGCCCAGCGCTGCAAGCGTTTTACCAAATTGTAGATAGGCTGTCCACTCACGTCACGTATAGTTTCACTAACCCCTGGTCTTCTGTTGCCCGTTTCCCCTATCAGCTGGAATAGCTTACGATGGTTGCCAAGAGCAGCCGCCACTTCCATCTCTGTTGCACGACGAGACCACCAAGTTCGCGGTCTCTCTTCAGGCTAGCACGGAGTTTTGCCCGGAGCACCTTGCGAGTTTCATTGTGTTCGCTCCCAGGCGGAATATGCCGGCGAGCATCGATAAGTTCCGGAGACCGCGAAGTGACCCAATATCCATGTTGGCTATTAGACATACCACATGAGGATTGGCCTGCTGCTAGTATGGACTGGTGAATATGTGACCAGTGAGCTTCAGTTGCATCCAGTGAGCGCTTACTCAACTCGCATGTCAGCGTACGTCGATACGCATTCAGAACAGCTTGGTTGTTTTCAATGCGCACACATCGTCGTCTTGGGCGTCCTCCAAAACTGATCCGCAGTTGAGCACACACACGTGCATGATCGCTGTCCACACTTGTGCTCCAAATCGAGCGACAGTTCTGGATGCAGCCTCTCCAGCAGTAACTGATAGAAATGTGGTCGAGCTGCGTCCAGGGCTGGTTCGAGGCTGGTGGGCGCCAAGTCACCCTCCGGCGGGTGCTGTGTCGGAAGTTAGTGCTCGCAAGAAATAAGCGGGCATCTTCACACAAATGAAGTAGCCGCTCACCGTTATCATTACGGGAGCCTACACTGTGCTGACCGCCCAGATGCATTTCATTAGTGGACAGCTTTCCAACTTGTGCG